GCTGTTCTTTTCTACTTTGCGCTGGTCAAACTGAAGGTCACATTGCTACAGAAAGTAAACGAAGTATAATTGATCTGCTTTACAACAGAAAAGTACAAGATTGTAGGGTTTATAATTTTTTTCAGCCCATGTAGTACGTTGATATGAACAAGCATAGCCAAAATTTTGAATATTTCCAAATTAATAAAAAAACCCTTAGCCATTATTATTCATTGCATGTTATCAACCTTTAGATATATTTAATTCAGCTGTTTATTTATTAAACATTTTTAATCAGCGGTGTAGCTAGACCGACGTTGGCGAAATTTGCTTTTCGGGGTCCTTTTTATGTCTTGGTTAGGAAAATTACTAAACTAAACGAGTCTGGAAATCCTATATATCTTTCGAAATCCCATAACGTTGCTAGACGACTCTAGACTTGTACGAGTTTTTTTAGGATGGTTATTTTTTAAGGCCCCCCTAAGGCACGAGATCGTTGGCAGTTTGGCTACGTCGTCGAGGGCTAACTACGCCTTTATTTTTAACTATTTAATCATTCAGCCTAACCTTTTCTGCTAACAACATTTCTGACCCTGTTATATAATTATAATCTAAATAAAATTCTGTGTAGATTCCGTCTATTGCTTGCTTCTTATGGTTTTTTAAATGCATGAAAATATTAAAGAAGTAAAAGACAATTTCAAATGTAGTTTTAGTCAAAAGTGTATTGAAAACTGTTATTATCGTTTGTGTACTAAAGAAAAACAAAATTAAAAAATCTGAATATTTCAAAAATTTGTAGTCATGAATACAAATGGGAAAAAAGTAATTAAACATAGATGTATTATGTATTTGATAGGATCATTGAACTACTGGAATACTATTATGTACATTTACATACATTCGTTCCCTTCTCTGTTGTAATTTGTTTTATTCCCATGTTATTGTAACATTTCCTCGTACATCGTTTTTTATCTGCATTAGTTTTTGAATTAATATTTTATAGATTTTTGTTCAATTTTTTGCAGTTCAGTTCTATTCCGTGTAGCGTAGAATATAAACCCTTTTAAGCTTGTAAAATGTATGGATGAGTGGTTCAAAAGAACGATTTAGATTAATTAGAATATTAAATGTTTGAAGATATAACACGGTCGAAACGTTGAAACTAAATCATAAATAAAGACGTGGAAGTCCTAAAGTCCAAGTATATTGCTAGAATAATGAATGTTTAGATATTAGATTTTTAAAAAAAAATTAATAGCATCATATTTGACAATAAAAAAGCATTTAGTATTTCTTAGATACTTTCCGGAATATTTTCGGAATAGCATAAATAGTTTCACTTGGAATAAACCAAAACTACGACAAATTGGTACCTGGCCTAGTTGTAAGAAGGGTGTTGGGAAATCCATTTGTAGCCATAAATCTGCCAGAATTGTTTGAAAAACTGTGTTGTGACTGACCATCTGCTATCGATCGCGGTTTATGACCTTTCGAACTAAAATGCGATCTTGTATCGTCTTGGAGTGATGATGATTGTTCTAATCCATGCAGCCTTTGTTGGTGTATAGGTGGTGAACTGTAATTCGAAACCTGGTCCCAATCCTTTAAATAGTAGATAGCTTCGTTAGGTCTTTGTCAAACACTATGAAATACTGCAGTTAGCAGTAATATACTTATATAGATGGTGAGTTAGTGGCTTTTATTTGTTAGTAGATCATTATATAGATATGTGTACACTGTGTTTGATCAGTATTCCGAAATATTTGCAGGGTAAAATCTGGAGGCAGTGTAGGGTGTATCTAGTGTAGGGGTACAAACAGTACCTCAGTGAAGGAATTGTCAATGATTGAGAACAGTTGCCAGTTTGGCAGCCGCGTTATTCTATCGCTCTTCATTATCGCAAGCGTTAAGTGACGAAACATTAATACGTACTCGTGACCTTCACAACAGTTGGTACACAGACGTGTATGTGTGAAAAGTAGTAGTATCCTGAACTCGGTAGTTACTATTCGATTGATAAAGTTACTGCTATCATCACAAAATACAAAAATAAGTTGACTGTGCAAATATGAAACAAAAAACAATGTATGTATATCACTGAGTGGTGCGAGATTACTCATTCTATTTCTTTTTAATGTTCCTTTTTCTCCCTTAATTTTTTTGTAGTACCTACTGATCAAACAGCATTTGTTTACAAAATCATTTTCAGTGTTAATTACGAATTGTAGTCGTAGCAACAATAATGCTCTGCAATTTGAGTGTACATAATATAAATCGTTTTAACATACTTTTGGACTGTTAAATGCACTTAATGTTGCTAAAGATGATAAAGGACCTCCGGGGCTTGCGGTTGGTCCTAATCCTCCACAACAGTTCACAGGAAGTCCAGCAATAGGCAAACCATTTTTTAAGGCTATCTTCTGTTGATGCATCTCTTGTATTCTTTTAGATCGTTGTCGCGAAGCCGCTACAAAAATTATTACTGCAATCACGATTGTTCCGCAAATTGCTGCGCTTGCGGCAATAGTGATTTTATCCATGTTGGATGATGTTGATAGTACGGTTCTAACTTCTCGGCACTGTGAGTATGGAACTGTTTCGGGAGCAACGTTCGTGTCCTCTAACGAAACAACGCACACGATTATACATTCCTGAAAGAAATAGTGCTTATTAAAGCGCGATGGAAAAATTATTACAATTTTGATACTAGGCGTAGCATGATAAAAAATAATTAGTAAGTTCCGTACACTTAACTTTCTAAGACACCTTGCATTTCAATTCAGGTGCCTTGTATTTTTGTCAGTTTTTAAAATATTTTTCGCAATATAGAACCATGCTGATTATTGTTTACCAACAAGCTACTTTGAATATTAATTTGAAAGTTCATTCCTAATTGTTTTTCCACTGTAAGTTTTCTCAAGTTTATGAAATTTTTTTGTTGTTGTCACACCCTCGGCGGGAATCGAACCCGGGACCATTGGCTTTACGCATCAATGTTCTGACCACTAAGTTACGTGGGGCGACAACAGTAACAACGATGAACTGTACTTATGAGGTTACACATCCGTCGAATTAATACTAATGTGTAGTATATAATACAATACTAATGTATATGCATCAAATACTATTGAAATTCGTAGTGGTTACGTTACATATTAATTTGAAAACTCATTTTCAATTTTTTCACCTCAAATTAATGAAAAAAAAGCTATTTTGAAGTGAATAATGCGTAAGTCATTCGTTTTATTTGCTATTAATTTCATTTGGTAATTAATTTTTTATTTTAGTAGTTTTGTTATTAAACTTAACAATTTACCATGTCCCAAACTACATAAATGTTAAAAAGTCTCACCTCCATAAATATTAATCAATTTAAGCATATTAAACTCACCTGTGATGGAACATTTTTAATCTTGAACTCTCGCTCACTGGCTTCTAACGGAGGCCCCTGTTTAAAACTTTTATCCCCAAAGAGTCTGTATACGACTCTAAAGCCTAAAATATTTTGTGTGTCGGAACTCCATTGAATTATGACGGAACTGTCCTGTCGGTAAGCGTTTTTCACTTTAACTTCCGTATCCGAAACGGCACCTTTTCTTGAAGGAGGTCCCATTAACAGCGAGTGTCGATTTTGATTGTTACCGCCCTGTCTCCATGCTGGAACCGTGCTCTTCGAAGTTGAAGTGCGAACAGAAGTTTTGACGCTAGTTATCGTTGTTGTATTTGAAACTTTAGCTGTTGTTGGGAGAGGAGAAGCGGTAGAAGCAGTCGTTGTCGAGGAACTGGGCAGAGAACTGAGGGCTTCTAATGTTGTACTTGACGCAATTGGCGTACTGGGTTTCGCCTTTGTGGTCGTTGGATCTGGTTTCTTCGTTGTAGTTGTTGTTGTTGTAGTTGTAGTGGTACTAGTACTAGTAGTACTTGTTATATTTGTAGGAGTTAAAGTAGAAGACGGTCCAAAAGGATCTGCAAGTGATATTTCGTCTTCGTTAACAGGCATTGCTTCCCCTACTGCTCCATTTTCGGAACAGCCAAGCTCTTCCACTTTAATATTGTAAAATCCACGATCTCTAAACTTCAGTGGACTTCCACAGAATTGAGGATTCCGTTCTCTACTCGTGACTTGCAGGTCTTTATGTTGTATCCAGTCAATGATCCAAGCAAGCCTGCAGTCGCAGTGTAAAAATCGACCTCCCAAACTTAGGCCTCTAAGACTTCCATTTAGATGAACGAAAGCTTCTTCGGGTATCGTTGGTAGCAAATTTCCATCCAGAGCTAAAAGTGTAAGCGATGGATTTCCTTTGAATGCATCTATCGGTAACTCAGTTAAAAGATTGAATCCTATATCTAGAACTCTCAATTCGATAAGTGTTTTTACAGCATCTGTGGGAAAATTTTCAAGGAGATTATTCAGGAGACTCAAAGAACTCAGAGTCGATCTAATTCCAAAGAATGCGTTTTCTTGCAATGTGTGAATTAAATTTCTTTCTAAATTTAAAGCGGTCAATGAATTTAATCCTTCAAAAGCATGTATTCCTGCTGCGCCTGGTAGTTCTTTTAAACCATTTTGTGACAAATCTAGAAAAGCTAAGGTAGTAAGTCCACGAATTGCTTCAGGAATTTCCTTCTGCAAAGTTCCTTTGAGATTTAGATTTTTTAAAGAACCCTCTAATCCCCTGAAGGATTCAGGGTGCAAAGTGACGTTGTTGTCAGAGAGTTTTAGAGTCGCTAGTTTGTTGAGAGTTTCGAAAGCTCCTGCCGGTAGTTCCGTTATCCTGTTGTGTGACAAATCTAGTAGGACTAATGATCGAAGTTTTCGTAAACTATCAACTGGAACTTGAGTAAGATCATTATCTTGTAAGTTCAAGTTTTTTAAATAGTTTTCTTGACCTTTGAAGGCATCACTAGACACTTTGGCTATTTTACAACGTGATAATTGTATATTGTGCACTTTTATATTCGCGAAAATTGAATCTTTGAGAACATTAACGGTAGAATTGTTCACGTAAAGTATATCGATCGCGTTATCCTTTGCGTAACGGTGTATTGCCGATAAGAGTTTAGACCATTCAACCATGTCGCACTGCACTGACAGTTCGTGAGCTAGGTTGTATGAACAGAGACATGATGATTGGAGTTCTGGAACTTCCCGTTGCCATGGACATTGGGCTAACGATGAGGGAAGTGCTATTGTCACCAGGACGCCTATGAAAATTCGTTGAAGCATGGCCTGTAAGAGTAAATTGAACTAAAAACTGTGTAAAAGTACTACAAAAAAATCTTTATAGCTTTTGAAGATGACAAAACAGAATTTTATCATGATATTTGTAGCATAAAAAATTAAATAATCATTGCAAAAACTGTATATCTGAAAAAAAAAATNCGATTAATTTCATTTTAGGTCTAAACGACCTTATGATTAGGCAAAATTTTGAAACATATGCATTCACTAAAAAATCTAACTAAGAAATTATCTTTCACGGTTTTTGCAATCAATCTACTACTAAAAAGGTTATAGGCGGAAGAATAAAATGATAATTCGGTGTTTTTTTTGTTGTTTTATAACAATTGAAGCACTACCTTTTTTAATATTCGGATTAAAAGTTGTTTGGAATAATTCTTATTTTAGCAGCAAATCTTAACGCTGCAGCCGAAATTAAATTTTAATTGAATTTTCAGTTTGTCGAATTTCTAATAAGTCGTTATGTTCGAAAGTTTTCAGTTTTTTACAATTTTTGTGGTATTTTATAAAACGTGCTGTTAAGACAGCAGGCAAAATTGGTCTGTGTTCTGTCGAAACTGTCTGCGACGCGCTGATGAGATCCAACAAGATCGATATCGCGATCCGCGTCTGGCAGTTATTTTATTCGATTATGGTAACGTGCCTATCACGTAGTGGTGAGCTACACCGGAATTTCGTTTCAGCAAGTAGATACCCATTTATTTAAATGGACCTTGTTGAGAATACGTAATCCTTAAATGTAGCATTGTACTACAGATGGCGTTTGCCGCGCCATTTGTGGTATTTTATAAAACCTCTTGTTTGGTGCAGATATTGGTCATTTGACAAAGTAAGCTTATAAATTATTTCGTAAGTTTATTGCTTGAGCCGCCAGAGTTTAGGAAGTTTTTTCTATGATTATGCTTATATCCAATAAGGAAGGATTTTCTTATTTTTATTTAAATAATGGTCTTAAAAGTATTAATCAAACTAATAAATGGTTTGGATGTTAGAAGAAGTTAGATGAAGTAAGGTAAACTACGTTCATTAATTTAAATTTTTTCTTTTTTTTTTAAATTTATTATTTATGGTATTTCCTATTGAGTGTAATATCTTGTGCAGCAAGTTGTTATGTAAAATGGTAAAACGAATATTGTTTTAGAAAGGTAATAATATTAAACTATTTTTTAATTTGTATTTATTACAACAATTATTTACAAAAATATGTGCGAAAGAATTAATTGCTAAGGTATGTATAAAAATATTAAATAACCGTATGTTCCTGCAAATTGTCTTACATTTATTTGGTAATTATCTTTTATGCCAGTTAACTTATAATATCTTAAAGTCAGTATTTGTCAACAAACAAAACCAGATTAGCAAGGAAACATTTTTTTATTGATTTATCTCGTCATAAAATGATTTTTAAGGAAACTGTACAGTATAAAGCAAACTAGAACGTTTATGGAAATTGCATATGGTATTTAATTTATTGATAAATTATCAATTTACTTCGATTTGTTACTCCTCTGACTTTATTTTATTAATATTTGATTAGAAGTGATCAACCAAAACAGGTGATGATAATGTATGGATTGAGCAAAGACAGACACGACAGACACACACACGTACATTCACACTATTTTTAGTTACTTATTGTTTAGTTATTATTGATGTGAGTACTATTTATTTATTTAAATACGTATTCTGGTTTATTCTTATTATTATTATTTTGTACAAATGTACGTATGTACTTATTCAGCTTATTCAAAGTGGAACGAGGCCACCTCTTGTTGTTGGATTTCTTGCCATATAGATGTCCATATCGTGGTCCGTCCAGTTATCAGTGTTATCACAGTAATTACTTAAGGTGTGTGTCGAGCCTGCTGTGCTATATCTACTGCCTGGTCTGTAGTTGTCTCGAGATCTCGAGCGCGGTCTTTGTCGTCGCGAAGACGCTACTGAATGCGTGGGTGCGTGTGATAGGCCGTGAGACGCCTTCGACATCCGGTCTGAATGCATGGCTAATGATTGCCTAGATTGGCATAAGTCTGTAATTAATTGGCATTGAATTATTTAAAAAATTGGCAATTTAAGTCTAAGTTCGTCAGAGGTATAGTTTATTATACAGATTGATAATAATTCATAACCTATTTCAAATAAGGTGTGCATTGTTTTTGACTACCAAACATGCTTTTATAAGAAATTTCGGTATACTTCATTTACATTCTCTAGCGATATGCCCCTTCCAATGTCTTGGATGCGCGCTGGCAAAATCGTAGGTAGGGAGAAAAAAGCTCTCGACTCTTGTTCATTAAACATACTTTTTCATACAGTACCTGCCGAAAGTTTTGTTCAATCATGAATAGTAGTGCGAGTCGAAAACAAGCGTTAAAGTCTTTAATATGTTTTCATATATAAATAAACATCTCGTTGATATTTTCAGTAGTAATTGGTACCAATAACAGCACATTTGAGCAATTCAATTGTAGTGGATAAAATTGTCAATTTTTCCGTGCAGTACTGTACGGATTATTCGCTCCTCACCGGTTAAGAGTTTGGTCGAGAGTTGTCTCCTTCCTTTTCTGGCCTAGCGCTGTTCTTTTCTACTTTGCGCCGGTCAAACTGAAGGTCACATTGCTACAGAAAGTAAACGAAGTATAATTGATCTGCTTTACAACAGAAAAGTACAAGATTGTAGGGTTTATAATTTTTTTCAGCCCATGTAGTACGTTGATATGAACAAGCATAGCCAAAATTTTGAATATTTCCAAATTAATAAAAAAACCCTTAGCCATTATTATTCATTGCATGTTATCAACCTTTAGATATATTTAATTCAGCTGTTTATTTATTAAACATTTTTAATCAGCGGTGTAGCTAGACCGACGTTGGCGAAATTTGCTTTTCGGGGTCCTTTTTATGTCTTGGTTAGGAAAATTACTAAACTAAACGAGTCTGGAAATCCTATATATCTTTCGAAATCCCATAACGTTGCTAGACGACTCTAGACTTGTACGAGTTTTTTTAGGATGGTTATTTTTTAAGGCCCCCCTAAGGCACGAGATCGTTGGCAGTTTGGCTACGTCGTCGAGGGCTAACTACGCCTTTATTTTTAACTATTTAATCATTCAGCCTAACCTTTTCTGCTAACAACATTTCTGACCCTGTTATATAATTATAATCTAAATAAAATTCTGTGTAGATTCCGTCTATTGCTTGCTTCTTATGGTTTTTTAAATGCATGAAAATATTAAAGAAGTAAAAGACAATTTCAAATGTAGTTTTAGTCAAAAGTGTATTGAAAACTGTTATTATCGTTTGTGTACTAAAGAAAAACAAAATTAAAAAATCTGAATATTTCAAAAATTTGTAGTCATGAATACAAATGGGAAAAAAGTAATTAAACATAGATGTATTATGTATTTGATAGGATCATTGAACTACTGGAATACTATTATGTACATTTACATACATTCGTTCCCTTCTCTGTTGTAATTTGTTTTATTCCCATGTTATTGTAACATTTCCTCGTACATCGTTTTTTATCTGCATTAGTTTTTGAATTAATATTTTATAGATTTTTGTTCAATTTTTTGCAGTTCAGTTCTATTCCGTGTAGCGTAGAATATAAACCCTTTTAAGCTTGTAAAATGTATGGATGAGTGGTTCAAAAGAACGATTTAGATTAATTAGAATATTAAATGTTTGAAGATATAACACGGTCGAAACGTTGAAACTAAATCATAAATAAAGACGTGGAAGTCCTAAAGTCCAAGTATATTGCTAGAATAATGAATGTTTAGATATTAGATTTTTAAAAAAAAATTAATAGCATCATATTTGACAATAAAAAAGCATTTAGTATTTCTTAGATACTTTCCGGAATATTTTCGGAATAGCATAAATAGTTTCACTTGGAATAAACCAAAACTACGACAAATTGGTACCTGGCCTAGTTGTAAGAAGGGTGTTGGGAAATCCATTTGTAGCCATAAATCTGCCAGAATTGTTTGAAAAACTGTGTTGTGACTGACCATCTGCTATCGATCGCGGTTTATGACCTTTCGAACTAAAATGCGATCTTGTATCGTCTTGGAGTGATGATGATTGTTCTAATCCATGCAGCCTTTGTTGGTGTATAGGTGGTGAACTGTAATTCGAAACCTGATCCCAATCCTTTAAATAGTAGATAGCTTCGTTAGGTCTTTGTCAAACACTATGAAATACTGCAGTTAGCAGTAATATACTTATATAGATGGTGAGTTAGTGGCTTTTATTTGTTAGTAGATCATTATATAGATATGTGTACACTGTGTTTGATCAGTATTCCGAAATATTTGCAGGGTAAAATCTGGAGGCAGTGTAGGGTGTATCTAGTGTAGGGGTACAAACAGTACCTCAGTGAAGGAATTGTCAATGATTGAGAACAGTTGCCAGTTTGGCAGCCGCGTTATTCTATCGCTCTTCATTATCGCAAGCGTTAAGTGACGAAACATTAATACGTACTCGTGACCTTCACAACAGTTGGTACACAGACGTGTATGTGTGAAAAGTAGTAGTATCCTGAACTCGGTAGTTACTATTCGATTGATAAAGTTACTGCTATCATCACAAAATACAAAAATAAGTTGACTGTGCAAATATGAAACAAAAAACAATGTATGTATATCACTGAGTGGTGCGAGATTACTCATTCTATTTCTTTTTAATGTTCCTTTTTCTCCCTTAATTTTTTTGTAGTACCTACTGATCAAACAGCATTTGTTTACAAAATCATTTTCAGTGTTAATTACGAATTGTAGTCGTAGCAACAATAATGCTCTGCAATTTGAGTGTACATAATATAAATCGTTTTAACATACTTTTGGACTGTTAAATGCACTTAATGTTGCTAAAGATGATAAAGGACCTCCGGGGCTTGCGGTTGGTCCTAATCCTCCACAACAGTTCACAGGAAGTCCAGCAATAGGCAAACCATTTTTTAAGGCTATCTTCTGTTGATGCATCTCTTGTATTCTTTTAGATCGTTGTCGCGAAGCCGCTACAAAAATTATTACTGCAATCACGATTGTTCCGCAAATTGCTGCGCTTGCGGCAATAGTGATTTTATCCATGTTGGATGATGTTGATAGTACGGTTCTAACTTCTCGGCACTGTGAGTATGGAACTGTTTCGGGAGCAACGTTCGTGTCCTCTAACGAAACAACGCACACGATTATACATTCCTGAAAGAAATAGTGCTTATTAAAGCGCGATGGAAAAATTATTACAATTTTGATACTAGGCGTAGCATGATAAAAAATAATTAGTAAGTTCCGTACACTTAACTTTCTAAGACACCTTGCATTTCAATTCAGGTGCCTTGTATTTTTGTCAGTTTTTAAAATATTTTTCGCAATATAGAACCATGCTGATTATTGTTTACCAACAAGCTACTTTGAATATTAATTTGAAAGTTCATTCCTAATTGTTTTTCCACTGTAAGTTTTCTCAAGTTTATGAAATTTTTTTGTTGTTGTCACACCCTCGGCGGGAATCGAACCCGGGACCATTGGCTTTACGCATCAATGTTCTGACCACTGAGTTACGTGGGGCGACAACAGTAACAACGATGAACTGTACTTATGAGGTTACACATCCGTCGAATTAATACTAATGTGTAGTATATAATACAATACTAATGTATATGCATCAAATACTATTGAAATTCGTAGTGGTTACGTTACATATTAATTTGAAAACTCATTTTCAATTTTTTCACCTCAAATTAATGAAAAAAAAGCTATTTTGAAGTGAATAATGCGTAAGTCATTCGTTTTATTTGCTATTAATTTCATTTGGTAATTAATTTTTTATTTTAGTAGTTTTGTTATTAAACTTAACAATTTACCATGTCCCAAACTACATAAATGTTAAAAAGTCTCACCTCCATAAATATTAATCAATTTAAGCATATTAAACTCACCTGTGATGGAACATTTTTAATCTTGAACTCTCGCTCACTGGCTTCTAACGGAGGCCCCTGTTTAAAACTTTTATCCCCAAAGAGTCTGTATACGACTCTAAAGCCTAAAATATTTTGTGTGTCGGAACTCCATTGAATTATGACGGAACTGTCCTGTCGGTAAGCGTTTTTCACTTTAACTTCCGTATCCGAAACGGCACCTTTTCTTGAAGGAGGTCCCATTAACAGCGAGTGTCGATTTTGATTGTTACCGCCCTGTCTCCATGCTGGAACCGTGCTCTTCGAAGTTGAAGTGCGAACAGAAGTTTTGACGCTAGTTATCGTTGTTGTATTTGAAACTTTAGCTGTTGTTGGGAGAGGAGAAGCGGTAGAAGCAGTCGTTGTCGAGGAACTGGGCAGAGAACTGAGGGCTTCTAATGTTGTACTTGACGCAATTGGCGTACTGGGTTTCGCCTTTGTGGTCGTTGGATCTGGTTTCTTCGTTGTAGTTGTTGTTGTTGTAGTTGTAGTGGTACTAGTACTAGTAGTACTTGTTATATTTGTAGGAGTTAAAGTAGAAGACGGTCCAAAAGGATCTGCAAGTGATATTTCGTCTTCGTTAACAGGCATTGCTTCCCCTACTGCTCCATTTTCGGAACAGCCAAGCTCTTCCACTTTAATATTGTAAAATCCACGATCTCTAAACTTTAGTGGACTTCCACAGAATTGAGGATTCCGTTCTCTACTCGTAACTTGTAGGTCTTNGTTGTCTCTTGTTATTAATGCTAACAAGGGGGTGTGGGACTGCACAATGAAATTTCCAACAGTCACTGCATATAAATTGTAGTCTAATAATTACATTCAGCTTGCGTAGCCGGAATTCAGAGAGCCCGACATTCGATATCTCTTTGTGCTAAAGACAATAATTACGACAGACACGGGGGAGTGGCGGTAACGGGCACACTTCATCATAAAACGGCTTAATATCGCACATCATCATTTTGACATCACATCGTTCAAAATATGTTGTACTCTGTATTGATCGTGAAAAGATCGATTCAAAAAAATTATAAAAGGTTTGTTTGAATACAAAACGTACATTGATAATAAGCTTCTTTATATACATCAGGGGAAAACCGTTCTTAAGTCAGTGACGTAATATACGTAATATGTATGACAGGCTTCCATTGTGTGAGACCCTGGCGTAGAGGTGGGGAACCTTCTTGTCATAACAGGTCACAAAAGTAGATGTACCTAAAAATGTTACTTTTGTAAAATTGTAGTTATTGAGATGACTTAAACTTCAGATTATGAAAGATGGTCAGAGCTGAAGAAACTGAAGGATGTCGCATGTGGTCCCGGGGCCACACGTCCTTGCCCTAGGGTCCAGGCCAATAGTCGGTAGACCATTATTCGCGAGCCGTCTGTAGCATTTTGTTAGATTGCTGGAACTCAGCTGCTAGTGGGGTGGGGTGGGGGGAATAGTGGAAGGTGGAGTGCTCAAGGAGCATGCTGCAAGTACCATATATTCGAAGGACTAGAAGTACAAAGGGCGTTATGGAAGTCAATAAAGAAAAGAGAGATGGCAGAACACGAAGAAAATCTGGATTAGATTATTGTTCGCAAAGCTAAGGATGTAGAATGTTCTAGTTTATGAGAAATGCGAGGATTGATTCAACCAATCTTTGGACCGATGACCTTATGATCACGATGATGATAATGATGATGATGATGATGATGCTGCTGCTGTGTTTTCTTCCGGGCTTTTTGGCCGTGGACCGTGGAATCTTACTTTTCCAAACGTTTCGCCGTTCTTTACTGACGGCATCTTTAGTGGTGACTGGGCAGGTGCTGAGTCGTAACTAATCAGTCCAATCATCAAAAATGCCGTCAGCAAAGAACGGCGAAACGTTTTGGAAAAGTAAGATTCCACGGACCACGGCCCAAAAGCCCGGAAGAAAACACAGCATCGATAGACGCCGGCCGTGAAAGCCTAAGAACTACAGATGATGATGATACAAATCGATACGCTTTGACGATTTGATTCTTCTATTTTCAAAGTTTGCTAACTCCTCACTTAGGCTATATCCGTGCAGTAGATTAATTGTTAATTCTTTTTAAAGTGAAACTTTTATTACATCGCCTCAAATTTTTTCGTCCATCTAACGCATGTCGCATTACAGCCGGCCGCGGAGTAAGGGTAAAACTGAAAGGCGCTTGGCAGAGCAGCCAATATGGCGGCGCCCATGGCTCACATGAGCTAACCGTGTACCATTTACATTCTCACTCATTCGTGGAAGTGCATGACAATTACATTTATAGACTGTGAAACTCAAAGCGAAGATGAAATTATTGATCGAATAACTGAAGTTCAAAATGATTCAATGATTTAAGTAAATATTGTTTTCAGTTTTTAACATGCGTCTATCATCTGAATGATTGTATTTATTATGTATGCAGATTGAAATTAAAATTTATAGTTGGATTTCTTATCTACTATTGATTTCCCTTTATCATTGCCATTTTTCAATCATTAAGAGAAGATTAGGAGCACGATTTTAATTTTAATACCCTAGGTCAAACAATTTTCCGAAAATTTACTGTTAGATGCCTACAATCCGAAAAGGTTTATTTGCATCGTGGTTTCATAAAACCACGCAATTTTTTTATAATAAAAAAGAAAAATGTTTTACCATCATCACGAATCGTGTATTCGATAGGAAATTTGTTAATTTAAGAGAAAAAAGTTGGCTTACCAATGACTTTAGCCGAAAGGGCATGGCATACCTACTTAAAGGGTGTGAATGAGGGTGAATTTTCACCATTATCACATATTTTTTTTATTGTACGTGTTTTAATGTAATTAATAAAAATATCTTGGTATGCATGTCCAAAAACTGCCGGAAGTATCTGGCATACCAATTACATTTCGTGGGCTTCCTTTACATCAATTATAAAAATCAACAAGCTGAATAATTTTATTTTGGAGCAAATACTTTTACTACTATTGCTTATTAATAGTTGTTATAATCTTTTATATTATATCGATATCAGCTTCTTTTATACTGCACTATTAGAGGCGAGTTTTAAATTCTACATTTCTCTCAATTCTTTAAATAGTGAGAGATGTTTGGTTCAAGTTCAACTTCTACACCAGTTTTTCTTTCTCTATTCCCTACATATTTAACGTGTAAATACATCTGCAATTTAATAGGCAAAGTATCCTAAGGTTAGGTTGTCCAAGAGCATTTATCTAGGTTGGGGCTATTCTGTCCCTCCAGTCTGTTGTTCCGTTATTTCGTATATTTTATTTCGAATATTAGCATTTTAAAAATATTCCTTGTTCAAGCGAAATTTTGCGTTTAATAACTGAATAAACTTTTTTCGTGTTTTATGAATATAAAACTGTGTAGTATTTTTTTATTCTGATATAAATATGTGTACTAATTTAACAAGAAATATCAAAATACTTCAAGGTGAACATAAACTCAGTGAATACGACCGAATTAAAATTACTAATTCAATTTAAAGCAAAGTAAGGAACTTGCTAGATTGCTTTCTCTTGGAGAACATGCAGGTAGGTACTAGACATAACGGAATTATTTTCATTGTCAAGACTACTAATTGTTGCAACATCCGCTCTGAATGAGCCGCGGTTCCTTTACGTGCTTCTAATGATAATTTATTCCGTTGTTTTTTAAATGAAAAACTATTTAGTGATTAATAAAAATTTACTTTCTAACTGTTCATTAAATGGACGTACAGCGTAAAGACTGCTTTGAGAAATTATCGATAACTTACTGCATTGTTACTTGCTTCACATTTCAAGTTTTAAGACTTTAAGAGCAAAAAAAAGATTAATGTAACAATCATCTTGACCATGAAATATATTTGCGTACTTATTTTCAATAAAAAAATGGTTAGTTGCAGCCGAAATTTTGCTCATACCTAAAGAACGTTTGTTATTTGGAGATTATATATTTTACGTCAACAAGCGGTAAAATATGCAAGTTTGTTACATTATTTTTAATAAACTGATGTTTCTGTAAAATCTTACAGTTCATTTTTTAATATTGTTTATAAAGTTCACTGACATAGGTATAGGAATTGGAACCTCTGTGAGAAAACGCTACTCAGTTATTATAAAATATTACTGTTTACTAAAAAAATATGAAAATACATATTAACAATTAATTTAAAGAATTAAATGCTCATCACGTAACTGCTTTACGTTCCCGTTGCGTAAATAAGCTTCTTATTTAGATGTCTATGGTAATGTTCTCTTCAAATATGAAATACTACAATTCAATTCAATTTATTACCAGAAATTTACAAGTAGGTACACCCTATAAAGGTGTTTAAAAACCTGTGCATAGATCCGGTATAAAAAAAACCTTAATCTTAACAAAATATAAAATTCAAGTAAAAAATAAAGGAAAAGATATGGAAAGGGATATTTAAAGCAGTAAAATGACAAAGACAAGTAAATACAACAGAAAATTAGTGAATATTGTTTCCTTAATCACAAAAATTAGGTATTCTTAGCAGTTTAATCTTATTCATTTTTTTAGTTTAGTTTTAATACTTTTACTGTAATTTAGTGTTTTTAACTTTTTGGGTAATGAATTGTAATTCCATATTGCCACGTATAAGCTATTTTTTTCCGACTTCAAATTTTATTTTTGGTAAAGATATGCTTTTGTTCCTGGTGGTACTCTCCGATTGATTATATTTTTTTCTTAAAAATTCGTAAAGATAGTTTATCGTCTTTACAATGTATTGTTGCTCGACATTTAGTGGTGTAAGTGTGATTTCTTTTATCTATAATTTTTAAGATTTTACTTTGTAACTGTTGTAATCTAGTTAAATGTACTTTATATGCAATACCCCAAGTTATAATGCCGTAGCTCATATAACTGTTAAAAAGCGAGTAATAAATCAATTAGCAATACATATTATTACTCGAGTAATTCAATTCTAACTGGTCCAATTTTGGGCAGTGTTTAAAATTATTTAAAATCAGAAATATCCCGCAAATAACATGTGGTGTCCAATTTATGCCTTGATCTCTAATTTTTACATTGATGTGTGCAGAATATAGTTCTTTTACATATTTTCATTATACATACACAACATCGGCTTTTATATAAGAGGTAACAATCATTCATTTTGTAAAAAATCTCAATGATGATGTGTGGTTAAAGCTTTTACGGTTGAAGATCAAGGTAACGAAGAAGTATTTTCTATTCTTACTCTGTACGGAGCTACAATGATATTAAAAAGTTAATTGTGACAAACGTTTACAATGTTCTAAAAAATCTAGAAAATCTTCATTGATAAAAGACTGCCTCTTAGATACATATACATATTTCTGTTTTGATTAGGTTAGATTACGATAGAAAAAGATAACGGTCACTGAGTTACTAGGTTGGGTTAGGTTAGGTCTGTTTCACTCCATTGCCATTTACTAACCCATGAGGATATTCAAGTTTTTTGTATTACCTGTTTTTCTTCAGTGGGTTCGTTCCATCATTAACGATTCTGGAGGTATATCAGGTTTATTGTTGGAATATTTAAAAATACATTTTAATCCATTTTCCAAATACTTTCAGAATGAATGTTGGGAAATTCTGAAAAAAGAAAATATTTTAAAATAAGATATTTGCATTTTCTTGGTTTCAATTGAATGTAAGTGCAATTCTGATAAAGTTTAGAATAATTTTACTGTTTAATTGCTCTTATTTGCTAGTTTTAATAAAAATGGTTGTCCGATTAATTTTCATCAATTATCTCAAATTTAATTTTCAATAAAAAAAATTAAAAGGTGTCCCATATCTCTATCTTCTCGTCTGTAGTTACACGATATTCTGCTTTGTTGTATTTTTGTATTTTCAAAGCTACTGTTCACGATGCCTAATCTTATTAATAATTAAAAACTCACGAATATTGGCAAAAAACATAAAAATTTTAAAAATAAAATTTTATTTTCTTCAAGTATCTTTCAAGGTGCTTTATTTTAAATAAAATTCACCTATATATCTCGCAATGAGAGCGATTAATCCAAAAATAACCTCTACAAATGTTGGATTCGGAGGGGGATATTGGATAGTGACATACAATTTGATCTTGGATCTTCGTCTTCAGGGCCATTGAAAGTCAAATGATTTTTTTTTAAATATATACCCCTATTTTTGATTCCGGATTCGGAAAGAGCTCAAAATTTTACGCTCAGATAGGTACTTCCGTCACTTCTTTTGAATGATTTTCCATGTTCATTTCAGAGATAAATTGAACAATTAGGAAATAATAAATTTTAATATAAAATAACTTGATTTAAAGTTGTTGAAAGGACGACCCACTGAAACTTGTTGCTTCTGGATTATTTAATATTATTTAGTGTTTTGTCGTTGAAATAATCTCTGAAGGTCAATCAAAAGAAGAGCTTGAAGTATCTATCTATGTGAACGTACATTTTGTCTTCTTTCCGAAATTGGAGTGAAAACCAGGGGTTTCCATTAAAGAAACAACCATTTGACCTTCAAATGATTTTTAAGATAAATGTCAAGGTCAAGGTCACGTTGTAAGTCACTATCCGATGCCCCTCTCCGAACCCAAAACCTCGTGTGGAGTTTATTTTTGGATTGGTTGCTCCCATGACGAGATATTCAGGTAGATTATTAATACAATCAAACCATTAAAAACACCCTCAACATTTTCTAGGTTACAACGTATAATTTTATTTAACTATTATACTTAGGTGCATTTTATCTAAACGTTTAGTCGGCCAATTTCGAAACAAGTTATAGTTTCAGATATGTTTAGGCCTAAACGGAATAGAAAGTAGAGATTTATTCGAAAAGTCTGTTGCATGCATATTTTTTATAATACAGGGTGTAATAGAAAAAAAGGCCGGACTTGTAGGAGGTAATAGAGTATTATAATAAAACATGAAAATTAAGTAAATGTTTGTATGTCCGAATTGTTCACCGTTTTCGAGAAAAAAACTACAGGTAATTTCAATTTCGGCACTGGTTCATAAATGCCCTCCGCAACGTTTCACTCAATCGGCTGGTAATAACTATCATCAGTGTAGTATTTGTTTTGTATATTTTGCTCTTGTACTGTTAGATTAGATTAAGTACGTTTCAGGGTGTTTATGTTATAGCCAACTTTAAGTAGCTGTTTATTCTTTGAATGTTTAAACCTTTTGAAGTTCAATAAACTGATTCAGCAATACAACATAAGTATATTATTATTAGTGTAGGTCAGTCACTGTATAACAGTTGTTACAACAATGCGATATGAAGACACGATACGTAAATTCGATTTCAACTTTGTTTGTCCCAAAACGGTACACTCACGATCAATGTGGAAATTTTTAAAGGAATAGTTGCTGCATCCTTACCATTTGCAACGAGTGTAAGTCTTGCTTGCAACTGATTTTCAGCCACGAGTTTATTTACGTCGGTGGTTTCGAAAGAAGAGTACTGCATAGCCCAATTTCTTACCTACAGACAATTTTGAATAGTAAGGTGGGTGCACAGTTTTTATCGTACTACGCTATTCAATATTAGACACCTATGTTGTCAATTCACTCACAGGACCGGCTTCGGATTGGAAATTATTGTGATTTTCTTAAAAAAAATTGTCGTTAACTGAACTCATAGTATGATTGTTTATTGCATCTAGTTTACCCACTCCAGAAGTTATTTCTATTACACCCTGTATATTGCATACATGTAGGTAATATTAGTATTGTACTGCTGCACTACGTACCTAATTAATTAATGGTAGATAACTCTTACCGTCGTTAAAACTTATTGTAGTTCTCAGTGGTTAAGTGCTAAAAGTCGGATGCATCAGTTTTATTTTCTTGTCAGTTGAAGGTTAAAAGAAGTAATTATTTAGTAGTAGTATCGTGCTAATTTGCCATATTTAAATAATGCTGTAAGTAAATATATATACCTATATATACATGTATATGTACGGGTACAGGTTAAAAGTGCTTTTTAAATGTCAGTAGGTAAAATGTATAATTCAGTTTTTCCTATTTAGTACACCATCGTCGTGGTTTTTACTATAAATATATATGCTTATAAAGTGTAGCAACTTGATTACGAATTTATAAGGAAGTTGTGACCTTTTTGTACTAGTACATTCACGATGCAAGCCTTTATTTAAGTTGCTACAATTAGCATGATCAGTGGCCGTAAACGAAAGACTAGAAACTTGAAATTATCTTTTTTTTTATTATTACTTATTAGTGTAAGAAAATGACAGAAAGTGTAAAATCTAAAGAAATTAAATAAAACAGGGGTTTCCTAAACACAGCCGTGATTACGTATTACATTGATATGCCTTTTGTAGCGTTTTGTAGAATTGACATAATACTATTAGAGAAATGCGAGCAGTGTGGTTCAACTCAGGGTTATAGTCGAGGGTAGGTACACCATGACAAACTGAGCCTGCTCGGGGGATTGCCTAGCCGCCGACCTGAGTTTGCTAACGATTTAGTTTCCACCTGTAATTTCTGAGTTGTACAGTAGCTCTAATAAATAATAAATGCAACGATAACGATATATTCCATGCGACTAAAAGAAGAAATGTTGTATAAGTGTATTCACTTGTAATAAATTCCTAAAAATCTCATATGGATTTTGTATTCTGTTCGTGCAAGAAGGATCAAGAAAAAACACCAAGTAATACTTTGTTTGAGTAACGAAAAAGCTACAATTTCGGCTACACTGTTCTCTAGTTTGTGGTTTGTATTTTTATTCTTTTTTTGCTAGTAACGAGTACATCTTTTCGGCAACATGATTATGCCTATCAGTCTACAGTTGGTTAGCTAATAAGAACGAGGAACCCCCTGTAATATAGTCAATAATTTCAGATGTGAGATATGTTACATGCTTGGCATGTGTCTGATGTTATTTTTAGATCTTTGATTACAGATTTTTCGTAGTTTTGGCTTTTTATTGTTTTATCTTGAATCGCTGTTATGAATCCTTTAGTTTATTTAATCATATGTTCTACGTTTCTTTGTCTATATGCTTTTTCTATTGATTTAGGCATTTTTAGTGAAGTCTTTTTGATTTCCATTTTTCAATTTTGGATTTTAATTTTTTTAATTTTTGTTGCTGATTTTGTATGTTGCTGGATTAAAGTCGGTATGTGGTGTATTAAAGGTTGAAATGGGACTTGAATTGAATTGAATTGTGTTCTGTGTACTGGGGTGTCAGAATTTCATACCCGAAAATTGATAGCAAATTAGTAACCTGTCTGAATGTATCAGGTGTATATATATATATATCTTCCTCGTACCTGTCTCTATTGTAAACATTTCCTCTGTGTAGAGTATGTGTGGTGCATTCTGTATTTGTGATATATAGTTCTAGTAAGGTAGTAAGTGTCTAAGTCTCTACTAAATCTGTGCCTGATACAGGAATTATTCCAAAGGAATAATTATATTGTACGTACATATATGTGTTGTTACCTTTAATCTTATAACAGCGTTTTCAGTATTCTGGATAGCCTACTGTTTAAGTATTTGTCCGCTTTTGCTTGTATGGCTTATCCTTTGACTTTGATTATATCCCAGATAATTGTATTTTATGCTCTAGTATGGTAGTTGATTCTTATGTTTTTATTTGACAATATTGACTATTTCATATTTATTAAGTCCAAATGTCATTTTTATACACATCTGTACCAAATATTTCTACAATTTTATGGCAACTAATTAAAAAATATAAAAGGAGATTATGGTGGAGTAAATAAATTAAGAGGTTTTGCCTGCCCCTAAAACTGCAACATTTTGAAAAAACGTGGAAACGTTTTTTGTCTAGTTACATTGTGACCATTTTCAATGCAAGACAGTCTTGCTACAGACAGAAGGCCACATTAATTTTGTCTTTCGTCATTTCTAAGTTTTTATATTTAATTCAGAATTGAAATCTAATCCAATTTTTAGTTGAACAGCTTTATGGAGTTTGTCGCTACTCAATGAAGTATTTAATAGAACAAGTACGAGTTCCTTCCAATTCCAGTTAGTCTATTGTAAAATTGTTTCCAAGTTGATATTCTTACATGTATTTGAAATAATTTTATTTATTTGGAATTATTTCATCAAAATATGTAAATACCTATTAAAAGTAAATGCAACAGATAATAATCAACGAAATGATAACAAATAGAAAAAAGTAAAGAGTAATATTAACGAGAAACCGTTTTAATGTTCATCATTGGGTAATATCCCAAAACCTTGATAAAATGTTTCTTTAGATTTTTGCTTCAGTTCAGATATTTCTCAGAATATTAAAAATAATGTTTTATTAGAATAATTTTGTTTTTTTTGCAAAGAATTTTAAAATCGGAGTAATAAAGTTGGCGCTTTCTACTATATATGTTATATTATTAGATATGACCTGTCAAGTAATTTGGATCCTAAAGAAAAGGCTCTTATATGTATATACACTATGTCTGATCAGTATTCCAGAATATTTGAAGGTAATAACTAGTACCCCAGTTAACGAGTCATCAATAATTGAGAACAGTTACCGCGTTATTCTTTTAGGCTTTCGACGAAACACACATACCTATTCTTGACCTTCGCAAACAGCTGATACGTAGA